TGTTGATAATTATTGAAAACAGTGCGGAATTTCCTGTTCCCAGCTATATAAATGGAGGAGTTATAACGAAAAATTTTATATCTGAACAATCAGTTGTATGGGAGCTATAGGTTATAGTGACCCGATCTTTGTAATTTTCACTGTAAGTATTCTGTTGATAATGGGTGCAAGTACTGCAAAATTTCATGTTCGTAGCTGCATAAATGCAGAAGTTATAACGAAAAATCTCATATCTGAACAATCAGTTGTATGGGAGCTATATGTTATAGTGGTCCGATTCTTCCGGTTCCGACAAATGATTAATACATTATAAAAATACACCCACCTACCAAATTTGATCCGGATATCTCGAAAACTGAGAGACTAGATTGCATACAAACAGACAGACAGACGGACAGACGGACAGACGGACAGACGGACATGGCTAAATCAACTCAGCTCGACGTTCTGATCATATAAGTATACATTTTAATGGGTCTATCTCTTTTTGTTCTGGTACTTACAAACATCGGACCAAAGTTATAATACCATTTCATGCTCATGAAAGGTATAAAAAGACAGCTGCTTTCAATATCAGCCGCTTTCACCAGCAATTTAAAAGGAAAATTATTTTTTATTTTCCTTTTGTCAATTTGTCAAATTTGTCAATTTTCTATTTTTCAAAATCGTGGTAGAAAACGGATTTGAAATCAGCATGAAAAAATCCATACGATGAGGTCGGTCTCTCGATTTCAAGACCGTCAAAAATTTGTTAAACCGTGTAGTTAGCAGAATGACCCGCGGGTTAAGATTTCTATCCGCGAAAAAAAAAACGATCGAAAGCATAGGCAAAATAATAACTTAGATAATTTTATCTTAAATCAAATATTAGTCATACCTGTTTATCTGGTACGCATCATATGAATTCAGTTACTATGTATTTACTTATCAGGTGCTAGACAGTATTCAAACTTATGACAGTTATACTTACATACAAGCATGCATACATATGTAGGCAAAATATCTTTTAATTTTGTTTTCAATGTTCTTTTATTGCAAAGATACTTTTCCCCACGAACTTGCTTTTCTTCATTCACAAATGGGGAATTCAGTGGAAATCATTGAAACCTGAATTTCATTAACCTTCCGCTTCTCTGGTGAGAGACCCGACTTACATATCTTCAAAAGTGCAAAACTTTTGTAACAAGAGGTGCCAGAAAAATCGGAAAATAGTCGCGAAACTTCGATTAAGTGCAGGCCACCGCCAACTAAGTTTTAGTGTAGCGCGATTTCATGGGTACAAGACGTATGTGAGAGAGCGCCGCGCTTCACAGATACTACCAGGATCCCCGGATTGCAAAATTGCAACTAACCCTTCTGCAGTGTTTGAAATTCACCACTTTCTATAACGTTTGGGTAATTTTGACCCAATAATAGATGTTTGAAAGTTTTAAGAAAAAAACCGATATTTCAATTTGAATTCAGTTAATATTTTATTCATCGCATGCAGACAGTTTATCGGCAAGTGCTGTATGCTTACTATGTCGCCTTAGAAAATAAAACAAAATAAAAAAAAATCGTTTATTTTTTTGCAAATCCATAGCTGATTATGCTTTTAACGAATAGACAACGCCGCAACTTTTATAAAATTACCAAACTCTGTAATTAAAGAATTTTTCATTTGCTCATC